TATATCAATTTTGTTTATTTATTTTTTTTCAGAAAACAAACTCTTGATTTCACTGACCTTTTGTATATTTTTGTTTCAGTTTTATTTCTTCTTTAATTTTTAAAAAATTTTTCCCTCCTACTAATTTTGAATTTGGTTTGTTCTTGATTTTCTAGGTCCTTGAGATGCATTTTTAGATCAATGGTTTGATGCATTTCCAATTTCCTGATGTAGGCACCAATTGCTATAAACTTTCTGCTTAAAACTGGTTTTACTGTTTTCTATAAGTTTTTTTTTTAAAGATTTTATTTATTTATTTGAGAGGTAGAGTTACAGACAGTGAGAGGGAGAGACAGAGAGAAATAAAGGTCTTCCTTCTGTTGGTTCACTCCCCAGATGGCCGCAACGGCTGGAGCTGCACCAATCCGAACCCAGGAGCCAGGAGCCTCCTCCTGGTCTCCCATGTGGGTGCAGCCACACCCCACGCCCTATCATGCAGTCACAGGGAGCAGGGGCTCCACTCTGAGCCCCATGAGCCTCCCCCATCCACAGAGAGAGCCACGGCACTACCATGGCCAACTGCACACCTGATAGAAGTTGGTCGGTGCTCCACCTTGGCAAGTCAAGTCCAGGGGCTTGGACAGCATGAGGGAGGGTAGTATCATGCCCTCACTTCACAGCCTTTAGTGAGCATCCCACCCCCTACCAAACCTCCAGGCCAGACTCTAAGTCAGTGGGATCATGAATTTATCCTCCAAGAAGAACCCCCAGCCTTGGGCAGGCCACACCAGGCTCCACTCATCTCATTACGATGGTGCTTTCTCCCTGCTGGTTGCCAGGTGCCCTTGTCAGGAGGGAGGAAAGCGTGTGCTTTCCCTTCGCAGAGTTTGCTGGCAGCCTGTCCCCCAGTGGCACTCCAGGCTGGACGCAAAGTCTCCGTGGGAGCCGAGAGGTTCTCCCTCAGGCCACACCCACCAGTGACACGGGCTGGCACAGGTTCCGCTCTCCTTGCTCCGAGAGGACGGCACCACCTCCTGCCACTGGCTGCGTGACTGGACCGTCCCTGCTGCTCCACCGCGTCTCCCCTTCAGCACCCCCACTGCAAACGTCTCTCCAGCTGCCCCCTGGGCCTGCAGGCCACTCCCTTTCCTTCTGTTATTTCTGTGTTGTCAGAATCAGCTCATCTTTTTCCTATCCAGCTGTCTTGGATGTCCATGGGTCTTTCTACTCAACAATCTTGGTTTCCAAGAAACATTGAAGTCAGAAGGATCACAGAGAACAAGTGTGAATCATAGTCAAATGCGGGGGTGTGTGTGTGTGTGTGCCATCATGGTGCAGATTAAATTAATTGAGCAATTAAAAAAACACTCAACTATAATCAGAGTCACCCTAGAAGGTAAGTGGTCCGTAGACCTAGGAACAAAATGGAGTGCACACGAGAACCAGCCTACATGCAGAAAATTTAGATCTATCTGTCTGTAGAGAGACTGTGGTTAAAGCTGTGCCAAGACTTAGAAAACACAACTAGTCAAGAAACAAAAAGGTACTAATACAAAGTTATGGGGATGTCTAACAAAATGGGATGGGGGAAGGGGTAGAAAGAATGAAAATGAAATAGGAAGGTCAGAGTATAGAATAATAAAGGAAGAATTTATTGATATAGCATGTGAACATGAAGATACGGCATGATAATGCATTGAAGCAAATAAATGGAACAAGATCTGTCTTGCTCTTGAACATAGAAGGCATTTAGCCATTACATAAAGGCAGAAAGCCCATACATCACATCATCCCAACGCCATGAAATAATCTTGTTTTTTTTTTTTTTTTTTTAAAGATTTATTTATTTATTTGAAAGACAGAGTTAGGCAGAGGCAGAGAGGTCTTCCATCCGCTGGTCCACCCCCAGTTGGCTGCAGTGGCTGGAGCTGCACCAATATGAAGCCAGGAACCTCCTCCAGGTCTCCCACGCAGGTGCAGGGGCCCAAGGACTTAGGCATCTTCCACTGCTTTCTCAGGCCAAAGCAGAGAGCTGGATCGGAAGTGGAGCAGCTGGGACTAGAACCAGCACCCGTGTGGGATGCCGGCACTGCAGACGGCGGCTTTACCCGCTACGCCACAGCGCCCCTCCATGAAATAATCATAAAAGAAAATAATATGAGCAGAGTTAGAGAGGGGTCAGCTACTTCAAAGTTTTGAAATATTCCTTTAAGTCATTTCTGGGCTGCTGCATACAATGAAAAAGCTTTTTAAATGAAAATAAATCTTACCATCCTAGGTGAAGGATTGCTAGAAATATACATATATTATTTACACACACACACACAGAGAGGGAGGGAGAGAGTGAGAGAGATTGTATTTATTTGAAAAACAGAGTTGGAGACAGAGATCTTCCATCCACTGGTTCTCTCCCCAAATGGCTGCAACAGCTGGGGCTCGGCCAGGCTGAAGCCAGGAGCCAGGAACTTCATCCGGGTTTCCCACATGAGCACAGGTGCCGACACACTTAGGCCATCTTCCGCTGCTTTTCCAGTCAGATTAGCAGGGGTCTAGATTGGAAATGGAGCAGCTGGGACACGAACAGCACCCATATGGGATGCCGGCACTGCAGATGGTGGCTTAACCTGGTGCATCATGATCTAGCCCTGAGAAAAATATTTGATAGTAACCAAATTCTGTAAAATGAGCAGATAGCTTACAGACAAGGAAAAACAGACATCAAATGACATGAAAGAATGCATATCTATTGTGGCTCAGCGAAATGCAAATTAACACTGGTTAAGATTTCATTAAAAATTAAAAAAAAAAAAAAAGGCTGGCGCCGTGGCTCACTAGGCTAATCCTCCACCTTGCAGTGCCGGCACACCGGGTTCTAGTCCCGGTTGGGGCGCCGGATTCTGTCCCGGTTGCCCCTCTTCCAGGCCAGCTCTCTGCTGTGGCCCGGGAGTGCAGTGGAGGATGGCCCAAGTGCTTGGGTCCTGCGCCCCATGGGAGACCAGGAGAAGCTCCTGGCTTTGGATCAGTGCGGTGCACCGGCTGCAGCGCGCTGGCCGCGGCGGCCATTGGAGGGTGAACCAAAGGCAAAGGAAGACCTTTCTCTCTGTCTCTCTCTCTCTCACTGTCCACTCTGCCTGTCAGAAAAAAAGAAAATAGTAGATGTGCCTGTAAAATTCGAAGTCCAGAATGACAAAACACAGTGTTGGCAGGTTTCAGTTGGCACCATGTTCAGAGCTAGAGGGATAGAAAAGAAAAGCTAAGAATCTGCACCCTGGAGGAGCCTGGGAACAAAGAGACGGCCGAGACAGAAGGGGCGCCATCAGTGTTGTTCGTAAGCACCACCATCGCACATTTCAAAGGGTCGCTGAATGCCGGGTGTCATACGTGGCTAAGCGATTAGTAAAAGGGGCGTGTCCATTTGAAGAAATGGTATCTAGGTGCACTAGCTCCCCTTTTCTGTTAGGGGTGCCTTCCAAGACACCCCCCCAACTCACAGTGGAAACCTGAATCCTCAGTTAGTACAGAACCCCAACTATGGTGTGTTTTCTCCTAACTGCACGTACACCCCTAGCTAAAATTTCACTTATAGGTTAGGTACAGCAAGAAATTAAAAGCAATAATTGAAATAAGATAGAGCTGTTATAAGAACGTACTGTAATAAAACTTACGTGATGGGGTCTCTCGAAAGAGCCAGGAGGAATATTAATATTTTGGGGCCATGGTTGATGGCAGGTAAGTGAGACTCTGAAAAGTGAAGCCGCGGTTAATGGAGGACTACTGTACCAATAGGAATCTTGTCTCGCTCTCCACTGTGGTTCTAATACCTAGTGCCCAGTGCTGCCCACATAGCATGGTCTCAGCCAATGTTTGTGGAATGACTGGGTTGTGCATATGGAATTACAACAAAATAAAATATAAATCCTTATTAGGTGCTCTCTAATTGTGCCCTAAACAAAGATTTCTGTGCTCACTTCTGAAGCTCCATAGGGAACTTCTATGCCATAGAGTGTGTTTCCCTTTTCTGTCAAGATGCTTAGACTCTTTTTTGCTGTTGCTTAAGATTTATTTATTTACGTGAGAGATAGAGTTACAGACTGAGGGAGGGAGACAGAGAGAGAGAGAGAGGTCTTCCATCCGCTGGTTCACTCCCCAAATGGCCACAACGGCCAGAGCTGTGCTGATCCGAAGCCAGGAGCCAGGAGCTTCCTCTGGGTCTCTCACATGGGTGCAGGGGCCCAAGGACTTGGGCCATCCTCCACTGCTTTCCCAGGCCACAGCAGAGAGCTGGATTGGAAGTGGATCATCCGGGACTTGAACTGGCACCCATATGGGATGGCAGCACTGCAGGCGGCAGCTTTACCCACTGTGCCACAGCACCTGAACTGGGAAGGCTGTGGTGTGAACAAATGCATTCCTGTAGCTGGAAGTCCCTCTGTTCCACCCTCCAGTCCTAAGGCCACATGGGCAGATCAGGTAGCAGTGACAGCCCTCATCCTCTAGGGAGAGCGGGTCTTCAGAGGCCGATCATCAGGCTGTGTTCACCTCCAGGTCAGGCACACCCTGCTGCAAGTTCTCACCGAGGCCAGCGGGAGAGGCCCACCCGAGGAGAGAGGGGCAGGTTGGGTGGCACACCCTGGTGACATCTGCAAGCCTGTGCCGGGACCCTGTGGGGAGGACTCTGGGGCTGGGGGAGAGTACAGCACCCACTAAGTGTGTCCGAGGAGCTCAGGCTGTTTCCACACCATCTCCCAGCACCCAGCTCCCTCCTCTTGGCTTTGCATCTCGAGGACCGAGGGTGGGCTGGGTTGTCCTTCTCCTGCCAACGTCTCCTACCTGCCCAGAGTTTGACGGGACTCGTGGTCTGCCTTGGGGCTTGGCAGGAGCTTGCTGCAACTGGGAGAAGCAGGGGTCATGTGTCGCCTCTAAACCAAGCTAGGGCTTGGACTCCAAAGACCCATTTGGGGCCAGTGATGGAGGTAGAGTGGAGGACGCCGGGGGTAACCTCAATCTTCCCCCTCCTCCAGGCTGCCCATTCTCCAAGGAGGCACGTTTGCTTTTCTGGCGCCCTCCCTGGCCATGCTGTCCCTGCCTGCCTGGAAGTGCCCCGAGTGGACACTCAACGCCAGCCAGGTGAACACCAGCTCTCCTGAATTCACTGAGGAATGGCAGAAGAGGATTCGGGAGGTAACGGGGCCCGAGGGGTGCGTGGGAGGAGCGCCGGGGTCCCTGAGGTCACTGACTGACACAGCATTCATCATCCAGCTTAGTACCAGGCTAGATCTGGGTTTAAGACACGGCTGCAGACAGGCAGGGATCCTGCCCACACGGAGCTGACTTTCTGGTGTGTGCAGGAGCTGGCACGGTGTGGGAGGAAGAGAGAGAAGTATTCCAAACAGGGAGGTCACAAAGGAAAATCTCACAGATTCATACATTCAATGAAGAAAATAAAATGGGTGATGCACAAGAGAGGGGTTGGGCTGTGGGGGCGGGAAGGGTGGAGAGTAGGAGTGGACCTTCTTGGAAATGCTCTTATATTGTCCACGTAAGAAGAGTGCCAGCGTCTCTCCAGCACGTCCCGGAAGGCAGAGGGCACAGGGAGGCGCTTTCTGTTCTCATCAAATATCATTGCCAGACACTGTGCCAAGCTCTGGAGGCTGAAAAGAGGAGAGAGAGACAGAGACAGAGACACAGACACATATCATAGCAATGGTGGTGGTGATGATGATGATGAAGAAGGGGGTATCAACTCCATCTGGGCAAACTCTAAGTGCTCAGGTCATAGCACTCTAACAGAGCAGTGAGAGTCTTCCAGGTACTCGGCTGCAGGTTTGCTACGTTGCCACATGAGGAAAGTAGGCGCAGATGAATAGGAAAAGCAGCCTGTAGGACCAGGGCCCAGCACCATTCTGTTAGTGGGTTGTGTTAGTCCATTTCCCATTTCTGCAGTGAAATGCCTAAGGCTGGCTACTTATAAGGAGAAGAGGGTTTTATCTCACAGTTCTGGATGTTCAAGCCCTTGGTGCTGGTGTTGGCTCAGCTCTGGTGAGGGCCTACTGGACGACGATGCCCCACGACAGGGAGAGACAGACCAGCAAGACAGCACATGGAGGGGCCATCCTGGGCCTTCCTCTAGACCCCATCAGAGTTATAAAGAGAGGACAGACAGAGAGAGCATCCATCCACTGGTTCACTCTCCAATGGCTGCAATGGTTGGGGCTGGGCCAGGCCAAAGCCAGAAGCCAGGAGCTTCTTCATGGTCTCCCATGTGGGTGCAGGGGCCCAAGCCCTTGGGCCATCTCCCACTGCCTTCCCAGGTGCATTAGCAGGGAGTTGGATCAGAAGTGGAGCAGCCAGGACTGGAGCACTTTGCAGATATCACTATTCCCATGGTTGTCATTTCAGCGAGTGTGATGTCAATGATTGATGAATTCATAATGGGACCATGACCTATTTTAATCTAACACAACTTCAACCATGTCCTAATAGGCCAGCATCACATTAAGAGTTGGCCACTTCACAATGCCCACTCCCATTGTCCATCCAGTGCAGCCAAGTGTACTGAGTCCAGTTTTATTAAGACTTTGGGGTGGGCATTTGGCCTAATAGTGAAGACCCTGCATTGGGATGTCTGTGTCCCATATCAGAGTGCCTGGGTTCCGTATCTGCCTGTGGCTCCTGGCTCCAGCTTCCTGCTAACACATGCCTTGGGAGGCACTGGCACGGGCTCAACCCGTTGGGTCCCTGCTCTTCACATGGGAATCTTAGATTTGGTGTTGACCCAGCCCTAGCCGTCACTGGGGAGTGAACCAAAGAATGGGAGCTCTGTCTGTCTCTCAGATAAATAAATAATAATGAAGACACAAATGAGAGATGTTGCAGTTTCGTAGAGTCAGTTCAGGTGCCATCATTCCTGATCTCAGACTAAAAGGATATTTTGAAATATTACTACGGAGTAATTTTATGTCCAACTTACTTTAAATGTAAAGGGAAAAGGTAGCATCATTTGGTATAGTAATTTGGTGGACTCCAGCTTTTTTTTTTTTTTAAGATTTATTTATTTGGAAGGCAGAGTTATACAGAGGCAGAGAGAGAGAGACAGGCAGAGAGAGAGAGAGAGAGAGAGAGGCCTTCCATCAGCTGGTTCACTCCCAGATGGCTGCAATGGCTGGAGCTGAGCTGATCCAAAGCCAGGAGCCAGGAACTTCCTCCAGGTCTCCTACATGGGTTTAGGGACCCAAGGACTTGGGCCATCTTCTGCTGCTTTCCCAGGCCACAGCAGAGCTGGATTGGAAGTGTGGCAGCTGGGACTAGAACTGACACCCGTATGGGATGGCAGCACTGCAGACAGCAACTTCACCCGCTACGCCACAGCACTGGCCCCATCCTTAGCTTTTCGCTTCTCAACCTGCCCCCAGAGACCACTCCACTCTGGATGCCTTCGTTGTTCAGTATTCCGTCCTGGAAAGCCAGCCCTTTTGTCTCTGTCACCGACATTTTGTTCCTTCAAGCGCACGTTGGAAAATGTTATTAAATCCAGAAGACCACTTGATATTCTATTTCTAGGTCTGCACTTATGAAATGTGATTGCTGAGCGGTGGGTAGTGAGTTGATAGTAGCACTGGTGGGCAGTTGCTCTGCCTGAGCCAGTGCAACAGAGGAGCAGCACATATTGATAAGATTTGACAGTCCTTTATTGCCGGCGGTGGAGAGCAGGCTGATGCTCCAAAGAACTCTCAACCCCGAGGCTCAAAGCAACAGGGTTTTCAAAGGCAAAATCCACAGGGAGGGGAGGGGGAGTGCGTGGTTACCAGGGTCAAGCTGACCTAAGGCCTATGTGAAACTAATATCAATTACAATCTTGACAATGGGCAAATTAACACTAATCCAGGGGCAGCCTATCTGTTTCCAGCTTGAACGATCATGCTAGGGAGTTTCTGTGTTCTGCCAAGCTGCAGGAACATTGACTGAAACCAGAAATTCTGTTATTTCCAGTTTTTAAAAAATGTTGAAATTCCGCATGATCCATGATGATACCCAGCCTGGCCTCCAAATCTCTCTTCCCACCAGACGCAGCTGAGCCTGCTGCTGTTGGCGACGTGGACCGTCCTGGGCCACACAGTGGCTTCAGGTGCAGGTGGGGAACCTGCTGTTTGGGTGCCCAGGTGTGCATGGCCTGTAGCCCAAGGTGGCATCTCTCGATGCCAGTGGCTACATTCAGTGCCATATATGCCTCTTCTTTGAAGACCAAGGGGCCATTACCATGAATGACCAGTGTCTGAGATTTGATTTTAAGGTCCTGTCTCACAGAAGGGGGGGAGGGGGCATTAAAATTGAACATTCTGGAGTCATTGGCCAGATCGAATCTTCCTTGGGCTGCAGCTCAAGGATCTATGTAATCACACAGGGAGAAGGGTGGGTCTTTACGTGTGCATGGGGTCACAAGATACGGAACTCAGTCACTGGCCTGATGGGGGTGGGCCTTAGTCTCCATCAGAATGTCACACCCCAGGTGCAGGCTTTCGCAGGTAGCTGAGTAGCACCTTCGGCAAGACACCAACTAGCATTTTTTAATTAAAAAACTCAGGTAGGGAGGCCCAAGTCTCTGCGGCTAGAGTTAGATTGTCCTGAGAGGTTGTGCCACCCTCACAAGGGCAGTGGGCCTATCGTGCCCTCGTGGGTCCTCTGAAGCCCTCCTGGCTAGCTACCTTTGCTTTTCCTGATTGTAACCATTTCCCTTTCATCAGAAAACAGGCTATTCCTTCTTTGAATGTCTTTCTGACATCACTCAAGACGTGGTTGGGGCTTCTGGTTTTAGTGTCCGATGCCATTCAGCAGTGGTTTAATCCCAAGATAGCAGAACACTTAGTGATGGTCTTCCAAAGGGAGAATGGTGAAGCAGCTGCCTTGGCCCTGTCTGTACCCAAAGCTCTGTAACAGGGCTGAGTACCAGCCTTCGCCACGTCAGCCCTAAGTCAGGAGAGGCTCCATCACCAACACTACGTAGCTCAGGGCACTGCTGGTAAGGGTGCAATAGACCAGTCTTGGGCTTAACTTGGGACTCAGACCATCTGCTGTTTTCCACAGGCTTTCTGTAGGTATCTGCACCCTGCCATATGAGGGACCTTCCAAAAAACTCATAAGGGGGGCGGTGGTGTTGTGACATGGGCATCCCAAATGGGTGCCAGTTCATGTCCTGGCTGTTACACTTCCAATCCAGCTCCCTGCTAACAGACTGGGAGAAACAATAGAAGATGACCCAGGAGCTTTGGCCCCTACTACCCACATGAGAGGCCTGGAGGATGCTCTTGGCTCCTGGTTTTGGCCCAATCCCGGCCATTGGAGGTTCTGGGGAGTGAATCAACAGAGGTAGGATCTCTCTGTCTGTCTCTCTGTCTTTCTCTGTCTCTCTGTCTCTCTCTCTCTGTCTCTCCCTCCTTCTGTGTGGCTCTGGTTTTGAGGTGGATAGATAAATTATACATAGATTCCAAATCCCTTTTCATCAAAATTAGCATCTTTTTATTTTCCATGCACTTGAATTTTTAAAATTTGTTGATTTTTATTTATTGAAAAAGAAAAAAGAGACAGGATCCTGGAATTCATCCCAGGTTTCCCCTGTGGGAGGCAGAGACCCGAGTATCTGAGCCGTCATCTGCCTCCCAAGGCATGCATTGGCAGGAAGCTGGATCAGAAGCAGAGGAGCTGGGACTTGAACCCAAGAGCTCTGACATGGAGTGTGAGTATCTCATGGCTTTTTCTTAATGAAAGAAAGAAAAATTTATTCTCATGATATTTGGTTTTATATTTTCTTAATTTTTCCCCTTTTATTTACATAAAGGGAACAAGTTTCATGTATTTTATATACACAGTTTTAAGAACATAATGATACCTCCCACTCTATCCTCCCTTACTGCCACCTTCCCTCCCCCACCTTTTGTTATGTTTCTTTTATTTTTTACAATGACATACTTTCAATTTTCTTTATAATTACAAGTTTAACTCTCCACTAAATAAAGAATTCAACAAGTAGTAAGTAGGAAAGCCACTGTTCCCCCAGAGTCTAGACAATGGCTATAAAATAATCAAATCTCAAAATATCAGTTTTGGGGCCAGCACTGTGGTGTAGTGAGTAAAGCTGCCACCTGCAGTGCCAGCATCCCATGTGGGCACCAGTTCAAATCCCAGTT